ACCTCCAAGGAGCACTCTGGCTAAGATGTATCTGTTGTTTTGGGCAGTCCATGGGCATTCAGTGTTCTTCTCAAATACCACAAGGCACCAATTCTTCCAAAAATTAATCTCCCTGATAAAACACCCAAAGCACCTGAGAAGAATGTTTCTCTTATTCATTCTCACTCCTAAAGACCATTCTGGAAGCATACCTTCAGAGAACATGCAAGTCATTCATCTAGCAATTTGTGGTATATTCAGTATTATTCACTATCCATAATTCAAGGAAATCAGTTCTTTAGAATTCCTTATTCATTGTCCAAATTTCAAGTGGTCACAGAATATACGTAGATCAGATGTATCTTAGTTCTCAAAGTGACATCTTTGGCTTTAATATATAAAGAGGTCTTTTGCAATTGACTTGCCCAGTTCAACTATGCCCTTTGATTACTTCACTGCATCTTCCATTACCATTATTCTAGGATTTACATTCTTAACAACTTCAGTATTTTTCTCCACTTATGGTGATGCATGCTTCTTATTAGTCTAGTTGTGGGAATTTTTAAAAAATTCTTGGTGATATGCACAGTGACTTTCTTCTGTCAGTGCTTCGAGTCTCTTGACTTTCAGCAAGGCTGTGTCATTTGCAGATCACAGATTTAAAGTTATTCTTTTTTTCCAATCTTAATGCTATATTCTTCTTTATATACTCCAACTTCTTAAGTAATTTGTTCAACATAAATAAGTATAGTGAATGGATATAACCAACTTATTTTATTTTGATCCACGCATTATTAGTGTTTGATAATTCTCACATTTTATTGTATAAATTTCTTTAGAATGGGCACAATTTAGAATCTCTTCAGTTGGTTGAGCATGTTTTCCAAATTTGCTGATATAAACAATTACATTTCTGTGTTCCAATGTTGAAACATCTCAGCTACTATTCCTGGTATCAATTCCTGGTGCCTGTTTCCCATTACCTTCACTGTAGCTTAGGTTTATTCCATGACTACTGTCTGTTCTTGATCATGTCCTATCTCTTTATAAAAAGGGAAAAAAAATTATACTAGTTTATTTACAAAATTTGATTATAATTTTTTAAATAATAGATTCTTTAAATTTCCCTTAGCCCCCCAACCATCAAATTGTACAACCCGATGATTAATCCGCCCCCTCCCCGCACAACCTCTTCCCTCTCCTTCCAACCTATTGGATCCTTATACTCAGTCTACAATAATGGTTTTATACAATATTTATCCTAGTGGGACTGAGTTCATTCACTCAGCATAATGCTCTCCAGTCGTTCTCCAGTTCCTCCCAAGTTAGGTAGTAATTAACAAAATCATTGCTCCTGCATGCTGCAGAGTATTCCATTGTGTGAATGTGCCATAACTTCTCAATCCATTTGTTTGTAGTTAGACATTTGGGTTTTTTCTATGTTCTTATGATGATGAATCATGCTGCTATGAACATTGGCATACAAATCTCCATTTGTGCCTCAGTTTTCATATTCTCAGGGTATATTCCAAGGAGTGGAATAGCTAGCTGGGTCATATGGAATTTCTATGTTCAGCTTTTTGAGGAAGCGCCAAACTGCCTTCCAGAATGGTTGTATCATTTTACAATCCCACCAACAGTTTATAAAATCTTTTCTCGCCACATCCTCTCCAACATTTATTACTTGCTGCCCTATTAAACTTTGCCACTGTTAACTGGAACGAGGTGGTTTCTCATTGTGGTTTTGATTTGCATCTCTCTTATTGCCAGTGATTTGGAACATTTCTTCATATGTCTGTCATTCGAATATCTTCTGTGAAAATTCTTTCCATGCCTTTTGTCCATTTTGTAATTGGGTTATCAGTCTTGTGGAGGCCCAGGAGTATTCTGTACACTTTTATTATAAGACTCTTCTGAAATAGTATTACCAAGTGTTTTTTCCCATATTCTGTCTCTTAAGGTGGTTCAACTTCTGGTTTTTCAATGTCAGGTTTTCACATATGTCATTATAATACTTTCTCTTGTCTTCTTGTATCAGCCTTTGAAAATTTCTTTTCAGCTCTAATTGCTTCATCATTTCTTCCATTTGCTTTAGTTTTTAATATTTCAAGAGGACTTCTGTAGCAGATTTTTTTCTGTACACTATATCCTTTGTTGCTTTTGTTAAAGAACAAGCTTCAGAGACCCTTCTTAAATGCATTATAGTCCTTGTTTTTCTTCTCTTTTGTATGTTAATGATCTTTTGCTTGATTGTTGTTGTTGTTAAGTGCCATCAATTCATATATAACTCATAAAAACCCTATGAAGAAAAGACCTGAACACCGTTGTATTGCTTTCATCATTTCTCTAACTTTGTAGAGTTTTCAGAGGCAAGCTATTTAGAAGTGGATGCCACTCCTGCTTCCAAGCCTGTTTTAATCTGGAAGCTTCACAAAACACTGTCCACCACAGCTAACCATTATCACATTTGACACATCAGTGTCACAGCGTTTAAATCACAGCAACCATGATTTACCTCTGAACAGAAAATTGACACACCAGTTCTATACCACTTAGAACAACAGTTTGACCGAAAACAATTAAATGCCTTTTTAAATACAAGGCCAACTCCAATCAACTCACACCCAATTGCAAGCAAACAGTCCACACCCAAGCCTCAACCAAAACAAGAAAACACACTTGTATAATCCCCTGCTCCACACATCTTCCCAAACTGGATACCAGCTTTTGCTTGATTAAAATTGTAATCTAGATGTCATCCCCTCATTCAATCTTTGGCTATTATTGCTCAATTTAGCAAATCTGTTCTTGAGAGGGTTTCTAAATTCAGGTGGATATGTTCAATGTTGTACTTTGAGTTTTGTGGATTTGTTTGAATTTTATTCAGACTCAACTTGAACTTGCACATGGACATCTAACAGTTTTTGGCCTTTTTTTGACTGGATCTCAAACTTCTGTGTTGTCTCTTTCCAGAGATTCCTGTGAAGCTCATCAGACATGATCTATATGTATAATTAATGTTTATGTTATTTTTTAAAAAGTATTTGTTATGAATAAGTTGTTGACCTTGCAAAATCCTATCATGAGATCTTTGATGTGGCCAATTGCTAATCCTTCCAGTTTGTCTCTACTTTTGGAATTCCAATTACCAGTAATCATTAATGCATCTTCAACTTTTGTATGATCAATTCTAGACTGCAGAAGCTGGAAAACATCTTAATCCTTGCCAGTTATGGTTAGTGCATAAACTTGTATAATAGCTATATTAAATCATCTTTCTAGTTGTTGTATAGCTGTTATCCTATCAATGACAGTGTTACTCCTCAGAATTGATCCTGAAATGTGCTTTTTGATGATAATACAACATTATTTACCTTCTTTTAGTCAATCCTGGCATAGTAGACCATATGTTTTTTATCAGTTTGGTATGGTCAATACTGGTCACTTCAAAATAGGATATTAATCCATTTCAGTCTATTTAAACCGAGTTTATCAATCTTTATTCATTATATTTCATTTATTATTATTCCCAATTTTCATATTAATAATTAATACATTCTACATTGTTAGTATTAACGGATTTTTGCAACTGGAGTTTTTCCCCTCTCATTTTGACTCATATTGTATTAGCAAATGTAAGTTTTCCTCCCATGCCATGAAATAAGCTCTGCTTTAATAAGGCAGCTTTTCTGTCATATTTTGAGTATTTTCCAAACTAAGGGTATTCATCTTCTGATGCACTATTAGTCAATATTCCATTGATATTCACAATTTTTCTCTGGTGAGTCGTTTCAGAATATATCCCCAGGTCCTCTCTCGTAGTCTTCCTTAGTTTGGAATCTCTAGTGAAACCTGTTCACCCTGGCTTACCCTCAGATCTTTGAAATACCAATGGCATAGCTTCCAGCACCACACAAGCCACCATAATATTGCAAAATGAACAGTAAGTGTTATGGTTATAATCTATAACAAAGTGACACAATATTAATTTTCCCTTGTTTGTGTACATTGTTTTATTGGGTTATATGGGCACCCTACTTTATAGCCAACTAAATTACAGAATTTAGACATTTCTTCATACTCCCATTTTGTCATTAATTTTTCAACTCTTGCTTACCATTGCCATTTTTAAAAGGCAATAGCATCTTCTTTAATCTCATATCTTTCATTCATTCATAAACTACTAGGGGAATGTTTTGGGGTTTGTTTTTTTAAAAAAATTTATCTGTGCTAGATACTGTGAATATACAAGAGCCGCACCATTTCAGGTGTTACATACTTTGAAGAAATCTACTCTTTATCTTCAGAACAGTAAGAAACCAATTCGTACTTAGAGCAATAAGAAATCATTCTTTATTTAGAGCAGTAAGAAACTTCATATTTAGAGCAATAAAAAAATTCACATCCTGGAGTAATGTAATTTTTTTCTTCCTTTGTTGATTTTCCCTTTGTTCTCTCCCTCTCCCCCATTAAGTCATGGCAATGCCATCCTATCAGTTATTTTGCTTGGAAATAAACTAAAAATCTTGATTTTTTTTTAATGAAAGAAAAATATTACCAAAAATACATTATCTAGGAGGCATGAAAGACTTTATGAAAGACAACAGTGAGTTGGTGAAGTTAAAAAAAATGGCACTTATAAGGAGCGTATTCATTATTTCTAAGTCATGGCTCATTTTCAGGAGGGGACCATTTTTAAACCTATGTTCATTTTTCATTCCTAATATTCTAAGTACAAAAATCACTTACTGGGCAGGTATCTATAGTATACATTTACTCCTAACTCAATATGTGAATTTACATGTGGAATGTGGATACCTGATTCATATCTCTGTTTCTGATTGTGTGCTTCTAGAATCTGGCTCTACGCATTGACTTTCTTTGTAATGAAAACTTTAGCTTCCTTTTTAACTGATACCAAAGAGATAGCTTCTAATTTCTTTGCATCCCCATCTGGTTTTAATTGCCTACTTCACAATATTTTCACACTGATAGACTGTTGGTGATTGTGTCTTTCCCAGGAGAAGGAGTTGACAGACAGCTCTGCCGAGATGCCATCTTCCCCATCCCTGTTGCCTGTGATGCCCCATGCCCAAAGGACTGTGTGCTCAGTATGTGGTCAGCCTGGTCCTCCTGCTCACACACCTGCTCAGGGAAGACCACAGAAGGGAAACAGATACGAGCGCGGTCCATTCTGGCCTATGCAGGTGAAGAAGGTAAGAGGAACGGCTTCAGGCAGGATGCCAGCAGGCTTTTGTGTCTTTTCAGAAGTTGGTTTTCATTTTCTTTGTTAAACTGGTTAAGATAATGTTCTGTGTGAACCAATTACCAGAAGCCCAGTAACCCAAAGGGATTTGCTATATCTTAAGGTATGGACTAGTTCAATTCTGTTCCCAACGTTAATTTTGAAAGTTGATGGGCCTTGCACAAACAGAAGAAATATTTAAAAAAATTAATTCACTGTGTTATTTTGCTTACTTTCGTTTTCGTTCTCTTAATAATTTATATGTTTTCCTCTTCAAGATTTTAAACCTGCTTAATAGTCCAAAAATGATTTCTGAAATTCTAGCTGTCATGTTGCAAGTATTCTCTATATTTCAGTATTAATTTTTTTCTTTCATAATAATATTTTGACTCCTTATTAATTGGTATATAAAGTTTAAAAGGAAAATAAGCACCAGCACACCAGGGTAACTGCTTCATGGGAAATTTTCCACCATTCAGGTTTCTGGTTATAAGCTCTGAGGTGCAGCATTCTCTTATGCAGATTGCATTCATTATTAAAATATGGTATTCCTAAATCACTTTGTCCTGTTGGGTAAGCAAAGCATGTTTTGTCACATATTCATACCTCACTTTTGCAAACTTTATTGAGAAGAAATACAAGGTTCTTGGTAATTGTCTCTCAAGCTTATATCCAAATGCTAATTTCACTTCAGTTAACTGGATGATATAATATGATACTTAATCTTGTCATTCTGGAAAATAACCTAGGAATAAAGAAAGCATAGAAACATATTCATTTTTGTCACATTAAAGTATGTTCTTATTTAGGAAAAATTCCTATATGCTATTTTAAAAAATATTTTTATTGGTTTTCATATAATAATTCTTATACATTATGTTTCATTCCTAAACATTGTGTTTTATACAGTCTTTCATTTACATTGTATTTCATATAATCATTCATATATTCTATTTTGTATCATTTTTTAATAGGTGGCTTAAGATTTTTATATACATTGAGTTTCACACTAGTTTTTATTCACACTGTGTTTCATACAATCATTCTTATACATATATTTTATAAAATCCATAACCAGTGGGCCTTACCCTTCATTACCCTGTCTTTTGCCCAGATCATTCTCATTTGCTTCTCCCCCTGCTGCCTCCACCAGGGCTGCTGTTTGCTATTTTAACGTTATCAAGTTCAGTGGTCATTCTTTTTATTCATATTTAGTACTGATAAGTAATGATTTGTATTTGTAGTAAATGTTTATATATTCATCCAAATTACCAGTAGCAGTTATAAGTTTTAATGAATTGCTTCCATCCTTACTGGTTTCCTTTGTATAAACTTTTTTAGCAGCAGGGTTCAGTACTATTCTTTTTAAGAAGAAATTTTATTGTTTCCACCAAGTTTTTTGAACCTAGGACCTTGCACATGTTAGGTGAAATGTGATAACCATTACACTATGGAAAAAACCTCCATACTAATTTTAATAAAATGTTTATCTGTGTATCTAATACCCATGCAAAAATATGTCCTGTTCTGTAGGGAGTTACGCTACTGAGCCAAAGGAATAGGCTCTCTGGCAGTTGGATTCCACCAGCTGCTATGAGGAAAACGTAGACAATCTCCTCCCATGCTATTTACACAGCTTCCAAAAACCTACTGGAGGGTCAGCTACAAGTCAGTTCTGAGTTGACTACAATGGGATGGTGATTTTTTTAAGATTAATCTGTTTGCTACAAAAAGTCTACAAAATGACAACAACAAAACTATCTATAGAAAATACCTAATACTAAGTTGACTCTTTTAGAAAGTTCAAATCTTTGTGTTATCACACAGTACCTCTAACCTTATATGGATAATATTCAGACTTCAAACTCTATTAGCTCATATTATATCATAGGCACCATTAAAATTAGATCTGTGGTCACCCTGTTTCCTGTAAATCTGTTATTCTCTGCAAACACTTGCTGTATGACTAGTAATGAGTGACTCTTCACCTGAGCCACATAGCAGGAATTTTGCTATGCTTGCAAAACTCGCCAGATCATTATTTCAGTAGACACGATGCTTCACACTGAAAGGTCATGAAATGTTTTCCAGGCAGAAATTTATGGTTACCCTTTGATATTCATCATCTACTTAGTTTGAAAGTGTGAAACTTCTATCATTTTTAATTAAGTCCAATAACCCCACCATAAATAAGTCTTGCTGGATAATTATAGATGTTTATGTAGTAAATAATAAAAAATATCAAGACCCTGACACTGGTCAATTTGTTGTTGTTGTTCTCTCTGTTAATAACATTGACACAAAATGTGAACAATTAATATGAAATATCTGATGGAGAATTTATGATCTAAAAAAATTACCTATTTAATGCTTATCCACTAGACACTAAACATATTTTCTCTTCTTCAACATAAGTCCAACCTTTTAATTCTGAGAATTTAAAATATGATTTGGAACTATGTTTACAAGATATTTAAAATATATTTCCCTTTCAGAAAACTCTTTATAATTATCCACAAAATAAGTCTCTCTTAGTTTCATCCAAAATTAGTGTTTTGTATGTTTCATAACTGTGTTTAATTTTAATGTATGTAAATTCACCATGATAACTTTAAAGGAAAAGACCACCTTAGGCAAACTGCTAAATAAACATGAAAGTCTGCTACAATTTGGGGTAATAACTTACAGGGCAAGTTCATATGCAAAGTATTTATCTGGATTTATAAATTAAATGCTGAAATCTATTTGTATAACTCAGAGCATCACGATTAGGCATTATAGTAAAGATTAGATAAGCTTTTCTATTAGTAAGGATAGGCTAGATTGTGCTACGATAATATCCTGCACACAAGTTAATAAATTAAAAAATTATTATTCCCATGAGAAAATTTTAATTATCCCCATGATAAGTTTTATTGTAGTTTTGGGCAACTCTCTAGGGCCATCTGTCCTGGAAATGGCTCAGCATTGTACCACCACAGAACACGCTTCCTCAGTGCCATGCCAGGAGAAAATCGTTAAGGAGTCAAGCATACAAAGTTAATACTTAGTCCCAGAAGCGATTTATGTCATTTTATTGTTCAAGCAAGTCACATAACTATATCTAACATCAAGTGAGTGAACAACATTATCATACTATGTGATCACAGTTTACTGATGGTATTCATAATTTACTGAGTCTTAGGTCTATTTAGGTCTATGTGTGTGTGTGTGTGTGTTTTAAAATGCATACCCTTGAAAGCAACCAGAAATCTTTGATGAAGAAATGGATGGTTTCAGAATCTTGCTACAGAAAAGTCTAAGTCTCTAGAGAACCTCCTGCCAGAAAAGAAGAAGATGAATATGAAAAGGCCATAAAACCTTCAAGAATGATCTCACACTCATCATACATGGGACAAATTAGAATAATAAAATAAATAATGGCATAACAGATCTTAACTCATTAAATAAAATAGGAAACCTCAGGTCCTTATCTACAAAAATAAATTCGTAACTTCAACATTGAAGAATATGATATTTACATAGGTGAGTGTTTACCCAATGGAGAAGTATGACAGGCGCCTTTAATGAGGTAATCAGTTACTACCATTAGTCATAGAGCACAGTAAATCATGTGCCCTTGGTGTGATGCATTGGAAACATGATGTCATTTCTACTGATACTCTTTACAAAAAGGCGGAGGCAGAATCTAATCAAGAGGACAACAGCCATCTGTAATTGTGCAGTGTTGTTATGATGCCAGAAGTTATGCCATCAGTTCTTAAAATACCAGCAGAGTTGCCCATGGTGGTTAGGCTTCAGTGGAGGTTTCAAACAAAGATAATTAAGAAGGCCTGGTGATCTACTTCTAGGTGTTACAGTGAAAGCTCTCCAAATCAGAACACAATTCTATCCAGCCTGCTTTTGGAAGATGAATCCCCTAGGTTGGAATGGACTAAAAATGTGCAGTGGTTACAAAAATGGGCTCCAGCAAGATAAGGATAATGAAGATAATGGCACAGGGTGAGTTGAGGTTCATTCTCTAATACATGAGTGGCCATGGGAACCAATTCAACAACTAATAACAGGGGCCAAGATGAGAAATATCACACTAACTGAAAAACATTCTGCATAACATCTATCATAACTATCCTGTAGTATGTAGAACTATTCCAGATTGATTAATAATAACAGAATGGGACATCTTAGTATAACAAGTATTCAGCACTTAAATGAGGTCTGATAGAATAGATTACAAGAATGTATTAATTCTTATCTCCCAGTTTTGTTTGTTATTTGTGAGCATGTCCATACTTATAGGAAATACACACTTACGTATTAGTGGTGGTGGTGGTGTTTTCGGTCATCAGAACTGATTGATAGCTGACCATCAGCAGGTTTTCAGAGGCAGTAAATCCCATGAAAGGAAATTGTCCATACTTTTTCTGCAGCATAATGGGGTATAAATTCAATAATGTCTCTCAAATAGTCTAAGAAAAAAATATTAATAAAGTATTCTTTTGGTAACTTTAATGTTGATTCGAAATGAAAGCAAGAAGGAACAGAGAATATGATGAAATTTATTATTATAAAATTGATTTACAAAGTCTTGAGAAATATAATATACTATATGCAATGTAAAGAATACTGAATATACCATGGGCTACCAGAAGAACAAACAAATCTCATTTAGAAAATATGCTGCCAAAAATATTACTTAGAAAGGGGAGAATGATCAAACTGTCACACATTGTTATCAGAAGAGGTCAACCTCTAGAGAAGGATGTCATGCAGAGAAGAGAAAAATTAAAAACTATCAGCGAGATGGCTTGATACACTCACTGCAGCAGTGGGCTCTATCATAGCAATCATTGTGAAGATAGTGCTGTTCATTATGTTGTACATAACTGTGAGTCAGAGCCCACTCCACGGCACCTAACAACAATGTCTGCAGTGCATAAAAATTTCATAGAACACTTCTTGTTGGAATAT